ATTTTCTTTTCTTTTTTTTTTTTTTTTTAGATCGATTAAAACTTCTTTCCGAGATCGAGCATACAAGATATTTTACGGCATCATATCTTGACGGTATTGAAATTCGATGATCAAATATAAGAAACGCGAGAAACACGAGAATCAAAGAAATATCAATACCAACGACGAGCCCTGACCGTCGACGATTGGACACGCATCGATAGCGCATAATGAGAATCGATTTTACGATGAAACACGCACGAGAAAGTCCAACACACGCATAACTTCGTTAAAAAATACATACACTGTGTATGCGTACATATTACGATATGATATTACGAAAGTTTCTTCTATTGGCTTGTGACATAATCGAATCCAAAGAGTTGTCAATCGTTGCATGATAGAAAAGAATTGTACAATTGAATGTTAGCACGAAGTCATTGAAAACACGAGGGGTGTTGTATCGATTTGATTTTGATAGCTTGATCTAATCGTTGCGAGAACAAGAAAGCAACAGAGAGAATGAAAGAGAAAGAAAGGAGACGCAGATAAATTTATGATAACATTGGGCGACTACTGCAGTTCCCACTTTTGTTCAAATTCGTCCTCTTTTCAAGTGAGATGAAACTTAACGATCGAAGTTGCAACTAGAAAGAGAATGGCTGAACGGGGAAAGGAGAAACTTAACGGGTAACACAAGTCGAATTATATTTATATATATTACGAGACTTACTTTCTTTGCTTTGAACGTGCTCGTATTTGCATATCATTTTTATAAATTCGAAATTCTTTTTCAACAAGGATGTAATTAATGATTATTACGAATTCTCGAAAATTCACAAAGAATTTCTTCTTAAAGCTAGAAAGAACATGAAATTCTGTTACTCGTGCAGCAAACAAGCACGTTGCAGTATAATGCAAGCACAAATCGTATAGGCAAAAGAACATCTATTTATATATCCTTTTTTGCCGCGTTCGTGACTTCTAGGATGTGTATTACTTTAAGCATACATATGCAGTTCATTTATTCGTTCGTGCTGCAGTATTGGTCGAATAAAAAAACGAAGATAGGCTTGGTTTGAACAAAGAAACATAAAGTCTTTGGCAAGAAATTGCACGACCGAGATATGATATAATTTTAAATCGTCCGATTTTGGTTGTCGTTCGATCCATATATATATAAATTGAAATGTTTTTTAATGTGACGATATCACACGACCACACATCACGTCATCCTTTTTCTAAATTTCGAGTTTGAAAAATCATAAGATAGTTAGTTTTTCGCATAGTTTTCTTATTCAATTTTTTTTCTTTTTTGATGTTCAAGAAAAAGGAAAAAAAGAAACTCTTTTCTTAAATCATTTGGATAAAATGGATGCAAATCCATTTTATTCTATATTTCAAATTAATTGCTACAATTCGTGCAAGAACATCGTCTAATAATATTTATTTGGATGTGCTAAATTTATTGTATTGCTTCGGATATTTAAATTTATATAAGGGAAAGGGATAGCAGGATCTAGTCTTTTAAAAATTTTTAAAAGTAGTTTTAGTTTTACATATTTAAACGTTCTTAGCAGAAAGTTATTCCTACGTTTCTTGATTTCATTTGATTGTGATCAAGTGACGCGCTATCAAAAATTTTCAATCGAGTATCAAAAAAAATTGTTATGAATGAGATAACTTTAAATGCATGAAAATGAAATTTCATATCGTGTTTTGTGTGATAGGTCATATCTGATCAATTGCTTTTAACTGACCTAGAATAACTACAAAAGGCTAATCATCTAAGCTTTATCACAGGATTTGAAAAGATAAGACCTCCTCCATTCCTGGCTTCTGTGGATACGATAAAATAGCTTCTATTCGAGTGATTGCAGATTATAACGTCTTAATGCGATGCCAATGCAAATTCGGAATAATATTTATTTCCGGAGAATAACAGAAGTTGAATCGTGTTCATTTAATAAAAGTTGTTGTACAGGTCTTTTTTCTATTTGGATAATTCTTTAACAAACAAACAGCACGTACGGTATACGATCCTTTGTGAATATTAGCTGTAAATAATCGTTTAAAATCGCATTATATATACTAGTGGTAATTATTGTAATTTTCCTGTGTTAAGCAATTATTTTCCGTGAATATTTTTCACGGGATATCCTCGTTAAGTCGTTTTCGATTACGTGTCGGATCTCTTTGTAAGTAACATTATTCGTTTTCCAATTTCTTCTTCGATTCGATATTTCTCCACAATACTATTCATAAATAAATTATCTCTCCTGATTCAATGAACAATCGTTACGCAATCGTTCCATCAGATACGTGTGAATATGATATAATTTTAAATATTCGCACGTATAAATACTTACGTAATCATATCGAAAGCATCTTCGTTCGAGTTTATATCGTAAATGGTAAATTGCATCCGTTACAAACGCATGCATTCTGGTAATAATACTTTGTTCCCCCCATTGTGTTTAGTACTTTACGTTTGTCCTTTGTCTGCTATCTCTTTGGATGATTGTGCTCGTCGGCTAAGGGAAGGACCTATTTTAGGACTCGTTATTAACCACCTAGGAATTCTATCTCCCTTTTCCCTCGTAACAACAAGTTTATGATGGAACGAAAATTCGGTGGTCGGATAATTTCGTAAATGAATTAAAGAAATTAATTTAACGAATTCGAGAAGAAAATCGTGAACGCACAAAAATATATAAGCATGTATATATATTATGAGGAGTTGTAAGTTCGAGATCACTTCGCATTTATTTTAAATATGTGCGAAATTTGTGTGCAATAATTTTTTTTCTT